ATGGCTGTACATTTAGGAAGTAGAGGAAAAGAAGCAGGTCGGATGATGGGGTGGGAAAGAATCAGCTTAGTTTTGGACCTACTAAATTCTGGATGGGCCTCTTAGATTTAGATTTGAATGTCTCATAAGCAACTTGGTATGTATAAGAATTCAGTACCTATCATAAAAGAGGCATTCAATAAATGTTTTCTCAATTTTCAGATGCAACATTTTAAGTGAAATGAAACTAGGCCGATCTAACTTGTCCCACTTGCAATATGTTTCAACTCTTCAAAAAAAAAAAATCCTCTCACGATTATATCACACATTATTCATGCATTGGATAATACATTTGGTCTTCCATCCCAGCTGCCATTGTTAAATTCTATGCTACACAATGTATCTAAGGGCCAGACTAAAATCAAGAGTGTGATGAGAGGGAAAATGGCTCTGAATTGTCTTCCTGATAGAATCCCTATTGGGCTGTCACTCTCCTTTGGCACAATTTAAAAAGGCTTACTTTCATGTCATTTGATAAATGTTTAACTATAATCCTCAAATTAGAAAATCTTTAATTTCCATGTCATCATGAAGAAACGTCATACATTAAAAAAGAGATGTGCTGATGAAAAATTCATTCAGCCATGGACCACAGAAACAGAGAGGCATGATTTATGCATTCTTTGAGCTAATACTTTGCTATGATTCTAATGGTGTTGCATAGCTATTTTGCAAGATAAATGGAAAAAGTACTTATACATAGTTTTTCATTAAGATAAAATGTAATTGTTTAGTTCATTTAATAATCATTGTATGATTAAATAATCCATACAAATTAAATAACTTACTGTGCTTTATAAATTCATATTAAAAGAAACGCCATGAAAATTTGTGGCATGAATAAAAGCATGAGCTAAGGAAAAGATAGTGGTATTTCTTGTTCAGTATAAAAAGTCTCAAAGCACTCATGAATTTTGAAATTCTTCTTTGAGTGATGAGAATAAGTGAAAGCATTTCATACATTAAAAGAATATAAAGTATGCTTTTCTTCCATTTACATATTGATTTATTGCTTTGATATCAAATACATCATTAAATAATGTAAACATAGTTATAAAACAAATTGTTAAATGTCTGAGTCTGAGTTCCCCAACAAAAGAAGGAAATTATGTGTATTTGAGGGTAGTTAATTCTTATGTATACAATTATGTATCTTTCTTAGTGTGTTTACCTAGAAAGAAATGTTACATATTAAACTAAATTATGTCCAAGATTCCTAGTCTGTTTCCTATTCTTAATACTAAAATCCATGAAGAACTTCCGAGAGAAAAGCTTCATTATTAATAGCAGGAGAATTCACTAATAAACACTTAAGGTAGGCCATTTATTTCATTAATCCTGAAAATCCCACATAGTAGTAATATTATTGACACAGTTTTATAGTCAAGAAAAATGAGAATTAGAAAAAATAAATACTTTTCCCTAATACCACATATCTATAGTTGGCAGAATGATTATCTTGGCCTCAAGTGTATATATTAATTCAGAGTTTAAACCTTAATATCTTCTCTGTACCCCAAAATGTGCTGAGAACAAATAAGATACTGATGCAGGATGGTCATGCTTCTGACCTTCCATCAGGAGAATGTGTTCTTTGTGTTATACCACATGAATGAGAATGACCTTTAGTGACCCATGTACAGTCTCAACCTAACTCCTGTTAGCCACTAGCCATCTAAAGGTCAGATCTGGAGGTGATGTCTGCAACACCAGAGAGGAATTTTGTGACTTAGCAGAAATAACAATAAGAAGTAAGAGTCTCCAAGTTCTACTCCTGATTCTGTCACATGACTTTGGTTCATGTTTAAACCCCTGGATCTCTCTTTCCTTGGCTGAATGAAGGTTGGATAGATGGTTTCCTCCCAGCCTTTGATATCTTTGTTTGTACAGATCTAATTGGCCAAGCCAAGATTTAAGGCATGTCCTTGGTCTTGGAATGACTAGAGAACTTCTACAAATTAAGTGGTTTGCACGGTCAAAGAAGACAATGGTATGTTCCAAAGTTTATAATAGAAGTTAAATGACTAAAAGAAAGGTGGTTTTGTTTTAAAAGTTGGACCCTGGGTCAGGATTTAGATGGTGAATAATTCCAAACAAATTTATTTTATTCATAACACTATTCATAACACTATTTTAGTCAGTCTCCATGGACAGCCTCATATCGACTGTGAGACCAATGGGCTTAGGGTCATGCCCATCATCATATTCACTGCTCAAAATGTCCTAACACAGTAAGACAAGACTTAAAGTAATAGGTGTTTGTGCTGTTGGTGAAACTTGGGCACAAATATTTGATAAATATTAGACTGTGCCCTGCTAGAGAATCTAAGTGGAATATTGAGGAAGAGGCCCATTTCTGAGAAGTATGGGTCACTTAGCTCAGAATCAAAACCCTAGAGTTCTTAATTCCACATCTATGATTTTTGACTTTAACTAAGTGTCTTGATAATGATCTTATAGTCATTTTATTAGAATATAGGCATGTTGGTCATGTACTATCATAGAAAAAAATTTTCTTATACTGTGGTCATAATATTAATGTAGTATCCTAGGAAGATGTCAATAATTGCAAAATACTTAATATAAACTATTCAGTTCTATGTAGGAGTGTTTATGTGAAACCTTAAAAAATAAGAAAGTCTTCTTTCTTTAAAAGTCTTTCAAGTTTCATTCAGGTGAGTGTACCAAGGCAACTGTAAGCACACAGAATTTCTTGAATATAGAAAAACAGATTAATCTTTTCAGGATGAATGTAAGGAATGATATTCAAGAACCTCTCCAGATGCTGTTTTAAAAGGACTTGCTCTATATCCTACGAATTATTCTTAATAAATATGTAGGTAACACTTTCCTTTTGCTCTCTCAGCTCTGTTTCTAATGGAATATACACTCTCACCATGTAGATGGCTGCAAGTGCTCTGATCCTAACATTATGATTTTCCAGGTCACTAGAAAACCTACCAGTTAATTGTTTTGTTCAAAGATCCTGCAAATAGGGTTTATAGTCAAAAGAAAAACAATAGTTTCATGCACAGCTGAGCAAAGAAAGCATATTTCAGAAATGCTATTGATTTGGAGGAAAAAAATCATTGAAAATTGATGAAGTTTTGAGGACATTCTCAAGAGGACTCTATCCTATTCATGAAATAGTAGATGCTAAAGCAATAAAGCGATTAGTTAATGCATTGTTCTATGCTTCTTCCAAATAAAAACTGATGCGATATTAGCATTTTCAGTTGCTAGTATCAGTTCTACATCTCCAACTTGAGACAGTGATAGGTATTCAATTATCAGAGTAGTCAAAATTTGTCATCTAAAACCTTCATACAAATTAATTACTTTTTCTGTTACTGTTCTTGTCATAAAGAGTATCACAATGGTGATTGAAACCAGCATTCTTATCTCACATTTCCTAGCACTTTTGATTTTCAAGACATTAACTTCTCTTCTGTCAGTCAATGCAGGGTTTTTCACAGGAGTGCTGTGGACACCTTATGCACGAGCACCCCATGGTGTTTAAATGCCAGTCACAGCCACAGAACCACAACTGCAATTGCCCCCACACGCTACTCAATACTGGTTGAGAACCCTTTGCTGTATTTCTTGTAACCCCTCAAGGCAGATCCAAAGTTACCTTTTGTTTCCTCCTTGTTCCTCTGCTAATTTCAATGGAATTTGTTTTTATTTTTATTTTTTGCCACACTGCAGGTAGGTTAATTCATTCCTGCTCGCTCCCATTTTTTCTCCTTTTCCCTCCCCCCTTTGTGTCTTCTTCTCGCCTTCTCACTCTCTTTCTCTCTGTTGGTCTCTCTCCTTCCCTAACCTATCTGTAGTCTCTGAGCCAATCGAGGACAAGAACTATGTGATGTTCACTTTTGTTCTGCAGCATACACCAAAGTGTCCGACACGGAGTAGACACTGAATAAATGTTTTCGAATTGAATCAAATTGCTCTGCTTTGTAAAGGACTGTGGGCTTTTCCAATCCAGAAGTATTTTAATCATGCCAGTTGGCATCCATCTAATTTTAACTCTGAAGCCAGATCTGGCAGGCATCAGAAGCACTTACAAAACTTTTAAAAATACAGTTTCAAGGGCTCCACTCCATATCTACTAAATCAGAATCTGCTGCAGAAAAGCCTGAGAAATGGTATTTTGCAAAGTGCCAGTTTTCACCTATACCAGGGCTTTTAGTAGAATTTTTTAAATTTCATTATATTATTGAGAAAATAGAGAGATACTCCTTAGGAATATTTCAGACTCTCTTCTATTTCATAGGGCACAGTGCAGGAAGTAGGGTGACTTGAAGAACATTCATCAAAAAAAAAATGCATTGAACTATCATACATTTTTGACTGCATCAAATAACAAAAGTATACTAAAAAGTTTATTGAGATAGCAACTTAAATTATTCAAGTACATGGTGAAAACGCTTGGTAAAGATAAAAATTCTAAAATATATTTTCTCCTTTTTGGTGAAAGTGTTTAAAGGTAAACACACTCTAACAATTCAGATGCTTGGCAGCCATTTCCAGTTACATTTGTGTTTGAAATATTCCTTTTGCATAGCACTTATATACTGTTCTTTTTACTGTGCCAAATAGAATTTTCAATGCCAATGTGGGCCATGGAATTTTTATTTGAGCATGGACTATTAGAAATCTTAGTCACCCTTTCCCTTCTCTTCCTTGTTGGAAGATATCTATATTCCTTCAGTCAAGATACCTCTTGGGTAATCATGTTTTCATCTAGTTATATTTTAAATGATCAGTATAAGAAAATATATGAGATTATAATGCTTTTGGGGAGACAATGGCCAAGAAAGCTTAAATCTACCTTTGTACCAGCCATTTCCTCATCTGAGGTCCCCAAAGGAGATATAAATACAAGGAAAATGGTAAAGTAAAGCAAAATGCCATCCAAGTTTTGCTAAGAAATGACCTAAACTCAAATATAGCTGCTATTAAAAGCCTGGGACAGAGTACACGATTTAAGCTTAAGAAAGCTTCTCTCATTCTCTTTCAGCCAAAACCTAAATATGACCATTTTACCACCTTTGAGCCCAGACATATAAGATAGGACAACGAAGAGTGAAGTGATGGGCTCACTAATGAGAAATGATGTGGCCTTCCCTTGGGTGGGTGAGAGATACCCTCGGCCCACTACCATAGTTGTTAGACAGGGTGAAATACGTTTATTAGGGATTTTTTGTACTTCTGTGCAACCTAGATGAAGGGAGAAGATAAAGCACTGCCCCAACACCCCCAAAAGCAAATAGTCAAGGTCTTTCCCATTCAGAAGATAGTACCATGGAAAGAATGAGGCAGGGTGTCTATGAACTTCAATGATATCAGTAAACCAGCCTTTCAGGGGCGGGGGCAGGGGAGGAGGGAGTAGGGGATAAAAAACTGAATGAAAAGCTCTCCTGAGGTGAGGAGAGAAGCCTCTAGATCCACTCTCCTCTAGAGACCTAAGGCTACCACTTACTGGGCCCTCACTAAATGACCAGCACCTTTCATAAGCTGTGTATGTAGAAATAAAGACCTAACAAATGAGAATAAACAAAGGCTATTTATTCAGAGCTTATAATAGCAAAGGAATCAACCACCATCAATTGCATTCTGGCAGACTTGAAGGCAGGGAGAGGGATAGGAAAGCCTTATAGTGGAAAATAGGGAAGGCATCAGGTATGCTGTGAATGGAGGCTTTTAGCATAGGGATGCTTTAGGCAGGTAACTAGAAGTGAAGTATCCTATGTAATTGGTTAGGGATGCATATTTGGCTTTCTTAGGTAGGTCTTAACCGGGAAGTGGGGACAATAATTAGAAAAGCTGTCTGTTATTAATCAAATCCTGACCATTCTAGTCTGACTGCTACAGAAGTTATAGTTTGGCTTCCTGAATTATTACTAAAGAAAGCAGTCTGACTTCTTGCAGATTTGACTTAAAATAGGCCAGCTTCCTGGATGGGTTATTAAAGATAAGGAGCTGGTTTTTTGGGCAGATTGCTGAAGATTTGGGTCACACTTCTAGTTTGATATATGGTTGGCCATTATCTGTTTGTATATTCAGGCTTCACTTATAATCTTATTACCACTCAAAGAGTGATCCATGAACCAGCAGTGTTGGGGGCCAACTGTGAGCTTGTGATAAATGCAGAATACCAAGCTCCTCCCCAGATTTTCAGAATCAGAATCTACCAAGTGATTCTCATGAAAAGCAATGCTTGAGAAACACTGAGCCTTAATTCATCTTCATTGTACCACAGGCAGTCACTATGTCCATTTTAAAGATGAGGAAATGAAAGTTTAGAGGGTTTTAATGATTAACCCAAGTATGTGTCTAGTAGATGGCAGAGCTAGGATAATCAACCCTGTTGACTGCCAAGCGCTGCCATTTGTACTCAACTGAAAATAATTACTAACTATTCTCAACAGGTGAAGAACTAATCAGTGCCATGAAGTGACATAGTACCGTGTTCCAAGATAAATTATTCCTAACAGGAAGCACTGGGCAATGAAAAGAAGTGTCCATACTTCTTTGTCCATATACTTTGATGAAGCCTCATTTGGGGACATCAGGGTTAGTGAGCATTATTAGGTTCCCCAAGGCAAGGAGATTCTTGCTGTTACAGAAAATCCTCAGAGGGCCCTCATTGGAGCAGACTGCTGAGCTTTGACATGGGACATTTCTTCCTTTTCATAGGAAATAAATAGAATTATAATCTATGATCATTATTCTTAAACAAGAAATATCCTTCCACAGAAGATATAAATCCAACAAAGGTAGAATTGTGCATTGTACACAAAATTTCTGAATTCCTTATTTGTCCAGAAATAATGTTTTTCTTTCTTGCTCTATATTTCAGGGCATAAAGAAGATGCTCCAAAGAGTTAGAAAGTTGTGATTCTGTCCCACCATTGAAACTGCCTCAAATACAATTAGAAAATTATTTTAAAAAGTCATCAAAAACCCACTAGTTTGTGCATCTAGTAAGGCCATAATAGGGATGGAAACATTTTCTTGCCTCTGAAACAGTGACTTGGTCATGTCCAAGAAGCTTGACTATGGGTTGTAGGTCAATCCCTCCAGGTTCCCAATGGCCAGGTGAGTTACAGAAGCTCCTAGAATCACCACTGTGAGTATTAAAGGTTAATTAACAAAGACTGATATCATTTGAAGTTTAAAATGAAAGTAGGTTTTTTCTCGCTTCTCTGTTTGCTGTTCTACCTGTAGTAAGGCAAGAAATGCAGTTAGTTGGTACTTTTTTTTACATAAAGTATTACATATTTTATAGGAAAAATGTGTGATTAAAAAAGAAACTTTTTCTCTAATTTTTTGCATAACCACATTTGGGAATACATTTATAACCAAAGCACCACCCTTCACCTGGTGTCAACCCTCAACCAGTAGGTATAAACACTACAGAAATAAGTAATGTGAAAGGGAATGATCACAAAATGCATCAGATTATGGCAGATGCCAATTTTTTTATTCTTTACTACAAAATATATTCAAAGAAACGTTCATTTTTATTTTTATTTAATCCCAGTATACAAAACCCAAAATCTGATTTTGGATAAATAAAGATCCAGATGGACTTAGGTAAATGGTGTATTTACTAAAGAAAAACAACACAGACTATTAAGTAAATGTTTATAACAAAATTGGGATACAGTTTAACTGATATACCAGTTTTAAGTAACAATCCACCAGTAGAGTTGAAAAAGCAGTATTCTGATATATACATATAAATATAATTTTTTTCCTGAATACAGTTTTAGGTTTTCATTCTTTTTCCAAAGCATGTACAATCTCACTCTTAACTTAGAGGAGAAAACATTAGGAAAAAGAAAGCCATTTCACTTCCTTCTGAGGTTCAAGACCTTATGTAGGATATTGTGTTGTGGCTCATGTTTTATTTGTACAGAAGGCTCAATACTGTGAAGTTGCAAAAACTTTGGGGGTATTTTTCATGCATCAGAATACTAACCCCTAGGGGTAACAAACCTGGAAGTGGACAAAGTAGAAAAATTTCAGTCATTTCTTTCAAAAATCTAGGGGCACCTGAATGGCTTACATGGTTAAGTGTCTGACTTTTGATTTCAGCTCAGGTCATGATCTCCCGCATCGGGCTCTGTGCTGACAAGACACAGCCTTCTTGGGATTCTTGCTCTCTGCCACCCCCTCCCTTCTCTCAAAATAAATATATACACATTAAAAAAAATTACTAGAGAGGTTCATGTCCCAGACTTCCATGGAACTTAGTTTGAAAGTGACAAATCAACATGGCAGCTGAAAATACATAATTGAGTCTCTTTACTTTATAACTCTTTCTGTCACATGCAAAAAAAAAAAAAGTGTAATCTTTAAAAATTTTAAATGTCTCCAAACCATGATAATCCAACTATTTGCTATACTTTTTACATTTCAGTGTGTTTCTAAAAATTAAATTATATATATTATATATATATATATGAACAAGAACAAGACTATTGATAAAATATTTTCTCAAAGCAGACAGAAAAGTAATGAAATTATAATACAAGACACACAGTGAGCCAGAGAGAAAAGCCTTAGATCCTGGAATCCCAAATGAGACAAAGCAGAAGTTATGGCCACACTCATTCCCAACTGTAAATGCTTTATTATTAATGGGGAGTAAAGTGAATATAAATATAGCACAGACATCATTCAACATTTAAGTTCCCTAAAATGACAGAAAGTATTTTAATTACAAACTCAGTATGCATCGCTTGCTTTTATTAAAGAAGCCAAACTGGAATGTTATTTTTTCTTTATGAAATTTTCCTTTTGGTATTCAAACCCAGAGAAGGCATCATATTTCCACTTTGACTGCAAATTCAGTAGTGCTGAGGGATACTTAATAGGTGCTTGTGGTGGTTGCAGGGTAAATTCAAAGAAAGTTGAAGCCTTGGATGAGTCACAAAGCCAACATCTTTAAGTACAATGGAAAATGCTTTACATATGTGTGCATTTTTCCTATTGAGAGGATAGATACCCTAAAGTTCAGGAGCACAGAAAATGGACGTGCTGTTTGTTCATCTGTGTCTATAGAGCAATAATTCATTTGTCCAGCATTTAAAATAATGTCTAGTCTTCTAAGCAACAGGTGTACAGGAAATTGGGCTAAAAGTTGTAAGAATCTAGGTCCAATTTGGAGAACACGTTTGACAATGGTTATATTCCTTTTTACTTCTCAGAATAAACTGATAAGGATTTTTCAAAAGTTTTAAAATGGAACTTCTCATTGTTGCATTTAAAATTTAACCAGATCCACAAATGGCATTGTTTCTTGATAGAATGAACTAAATACTATTAAAAAATCAAGTGCAATTGCTTCAGATGATATAAATCCTCTTCATTAAACTTATTTCTCAAGAACACTCTTATTAAACTAAGAAGCAATAAGACAAAGAGGGAAAAACACTGAGAAAAAAGTTAGAAATCTCAGGTCCCTACTGCTAACAATTTATGTGATTTTAGGCAGGTAACTCACTTCACCTTACAACCTTAGGAAATTATGATATTAGCGTTTATCTCCAAAGTCCCTTCCAGTGCTAATGTTTTATGATCATATTATTTCTTGGATGTTTCAGCTTTACCATAATAACAATATTAACACCAACAATACCAATAATAACAACAATAATAAGATGAAAGGGGCATTGGGAAATAATTGGAAGAACACAACGGGAGGCAGGCAATGTACATTCTAATTACTTCACTGTCAGTAGATTGTGAAATGACCTAGAATGAGATGCTTCTCTGGGTCTTACTTTCTTTTTCTTTTTTCTCTGATAGGACAAGTAAAATGCTTTCCAACCAAATTCTACATAACTGTAGGGTTTCACGTATGTGCTTCATGCAAAACCACACACACACACACACTCACACACACCCCTCTACATATAAAATAGTGAAAACAAAAAACAATATACCTGTTTAAATATGTGTTTTTTCTAATTATAATATCAAGAGTCCACCAGCTCATTGATTATCTTGTTTTATATTGACTTCATAAAAAAGCATGCCATGCCATTTCTATTTAATCAAGAAGTAAATCTCGAGATTTTCAGCAATTTGACTTTAAATATATGTCCCTACAAATACTTTTATAATGAGCCATGTGGAAAAGAATTGTGCAATATCAAATATTCACTTTGTCAAAAATGTTTCCTGTTTTTACTGACTTTGCAAAATATTACAGAAATTGATTTATAAATGAAAGTGATACTAGTAACATTGCTTTTTATTTTATATATTAAAATTCCTTGGAAATTTTTATTTAACTAAAAGATTCATATTTTAAGCTTGAATATCTTGAATAAACTATTCTATAAGTTTTCTTCCAATCTTGAACAATTTTAAACAATTGGCCAGAGAAGAGGTCTAAAAGTTATCTTAAATTAGACACAGAAAAAGCAATGTTTATATACTCTGTCAAAGGTAGTTGCCTGCTGAGTTTCTTGTAAGGCAGCTCTCAATAAAGAGAAATGTCATTCTAATCCTGGGATAGTCTTGACAAGAATCCAAAATCTTTATTGATAAAGGATACTTTTCAATCCATAATGAAAATTCTGATCATTCCAAAGTGAGCTAGTAGCCTCTTCTAAAGAACAGAATTGCTGACTGGAAGTTAGCCTTCCTGTGGGAAAGAAACATGCCCGTCATGCCAAGGATATTAGTGGGACCAAACCCTTTAGAGTAGCAAAAGGTGGCAAATGCTTTCCTATGCTATTGTTCCAGTGGGGAGAAATGGAATGATATTTGCTTCCTTAAGCTTAATGGAATAGTCACGCATCATTTGTCTAAGGTTTTGTGCACACTGTACTTTGTCATATTATATCACTGATTTTGGACTTCCTTGTCTATTGAGTGGGCAGATTCCCATGAAATGGGAGACAAGAGTTACAGTAGAATGGAAATGGAATTGAGGGTATGGATAATAAAATTGTTTTCTCATTTTTAGAGAAATTTGGGAATAAAGTAAGAGAAGTGTAAATGACAAGCTTCTGGGGTAATAATTAATTCCCTGTTGAACTGGTTCAATCCTGGAAATTTGTTAATGAAAATACTCGTTTGCCTTATCCTTCTTAAGCAATTCATTTTCTTCTTTTCGTACTTCATTATTTCTAAGAATATCTATTGCTAAGCCATTATGGGTCTGCTCATCTATGATACTGGGAATACTACCTCCCTTCTCAAAGCCCAACTCAAATGCCACTCGCCTATTAATAAGTTCTTTTGATTCCCCGAGTGGTCTAATTTCTATCTCTTTTATAAAAATCAATCAAGCTCTAAGAGTGATGTTAATATGTCTTTAATGTTTTCTAATATTTTCAGTTCAGGAAAAAATAGAGGTGCTTTTTAAAAGCTAACAATTTATTTTCTTGTAAAAGGTAAGAAACTCTAACATAGGTATTGAAAACAAAAGAGCTAAAAATGCATGCATATATTCCAAAGTGTGGGACATTACAGGCAGAATGAAAGAATGAATGAAGCCAAAGAATAATCTGATAAACTAAATAAAAAAGTTCAGATCCCCCAAATTTGTAAAATGGCCACCATCTCTGAAGGAGTACATACTTAGGAGTGTCTCAAAAGGTCTTCCACAAGGAACAGTGAGTTGTGTGCGTTTGCAGAAGAGTAGTGATTGCAGCTGACAAGGAACAGCCCTGGGACTACAGCTTCCTGCATACCCACTGCAGGGCACTGTGCATGTTTCCTCCCCTCCCTAGGTAGACAGAGAACTTCCCAGCACAATTAACATCAGAGGAATCCTATACAGTTAAGGAAAAAGAAATGAATGAATGAGGCAATGCCCAAAATGCTCACTATTCTTAGTATTTTATTTTAGAAAGAGTTCATAGGGGAACCTGGGTGGCTCAGTCTGTTAAGCAACCGACTTCGGCTCAGGTCATGATTTCAC